CTCCTGGGTACTGAGACACATTATTATGTCAAAATCATTTTTCAAAGTATAAGCCTAGAATAGACATAGACATAAACTAGATTGACTGGATATCTCAGAAGATATCCCTTTATTATTCAAAACCTGAAATATGATAAATGTAGCAGCACAAATCAAAGGGAAAAGATAAATTGTTTACTAGTTTGTGGTGCAAAAAATCTTCATGTTATGAAGAAAAGTAAACCTGAATTTCTGCTCAAGACCACAGGTGAACATAAATCCTGATAGATTCAAGATATAAATATGTAAGACAAAGTATAATGTTTATAGGAGAAGCATAAGAGAATTATATTATTGACTTTCAAAAGCACAAACGTTAAGAAGATTTTTTAAAACATGAAAACCCCAACATTAAGGATTTTTGTTTCACAGAGGATATCCTGGATAAAGTTATCAGGAATATGGAAAATTGGAAAAAATAATTTGCATTATGTCAAAATGACAAGGTTACACTATCTAGAAAAATGAAGACAGAGTAGGAACCTTGATACAGATATGAGCAAAAGGGTATGAGGAGAGAAATCACAGAACGAGTTACAGGCAAATATAAAGATGCTCAGTAAAGAAGAGCGAGAGGGGAGAGCGAGAGAGGGGAAGGAAAAAACAGAATTTCACTGTATGCTTATTCAGTTTCCAAAATTAGAAATGCCATGTTGATTGGCCTCCTACATTACTACTGAGAATGTAGAATGGTGAAAATACAGAGTATACATGCTCTGTACACCAGCAAATTGGGTCCTAAGTATTATCTCGATATCTCAAACCTATTTATAGGGAGCATATAAGAGGGTGTTCCTTGTAGCATTGCTTTTGTGGGGGAATTGGACAAGCCTGCTTATCCAAAATTGGGGAGAAAGCAGGTAAAATGATTAGATGCAAACATTGAAGCCCCAAGCAGGTGTTAGATGTACACATTGCAGTGTAAATGGAATTTTAAATAATATTGAGTGAATAAAGCAAAAAACCAAAAACCCATGATGAACCCTCTATCATAATTCCATTTGGACACATTAAAAATATAGTGCATGAGACTATGCTACACATGCTGGCCCACAGAGCAAGCCTCGGTAAATTTTTAAAAATTGAAATCATATCGAACATCTTTTTCACCCACAAGGCTATAAGAGTAGAAATCAACTACAAGAAAAAAAAAACTGCAAAAACCACAAACATGTGGAAGCTAAACAACAGGCTACTAAACTACCAGTGGATCACTGAAGAAATCAAAGAGGAAATAAAAACATACTAGAGACAATTTCTTGAAAAGGTACAGTTTGCCAAGACTAAGTTCAGACCTCTGAACTCCTTGTCTCTGGGAAGGGCCCCCTCATAGCTGCACCTGCTCGTAGTTTGTCTAGTGCATTGTCTCTAAGTTTCCCCCACAGTAGGGCTCAGCCTGGAAATCGAAGGACTCAGAATCATCGGGACAGTGAGGAAATTCCCCAGAGTGAGGATGCTCTTTGGAGACAGGAAGATTGCATTTATGACCTGAAAAACAAATCTGAACGCCTAAGCACTCGACCCAGAAACCAAGACACTGGCATCAACTGCCTCCTGGGCTTCACCTCTCCCTTTACTCAGCACTTTCCTTCCCACCCAAGTAGTTCTCAGTTCTCCCCCTCCTCTCCATCCGTTTTCCATCTCCTCTCTCCTGGACCACAGCCTCCGGCTCCTCCCATGTCCACTCCACTGCTCCCACTCCAATCTGGCTTCCAGGGAGAATTTTCTTAAATTTGTACAAGGTATGTAGTTATCAGATCCAAGGTTCAAATCCCTGCTTCCACTGTGTCTTTGAGAAAGAACTTTTCAGTGCCAAGCCTCCTCACCCCAACTGAAAATGAGAGTACCCAGAGAACTGCCTTTGGTGGGTCCATGAGGATTCACGTAAAGGGCTCAGAATTACCTAATAAATGTTGTTATCACTGACTTTGCGACTGTGTTCCTTCTTCTGAGCTGGCTTGTTGTCATCCTTCTGCACCAGATGACACCAATTGGCCCCATTCTGAACTCATGGTCTCTGACCCCAGTGGGGCACTTGGTACCTCTGGTAACCACACAAAACAGTGTCCCCTAGAAGGCTGATCTCCTCCAGCCCCTGCCTCATCCCTGCAGTCCACCTTCCCACCTCCCGCTTGGTGGAATGGCCATGGTTCTTGAGGCTGAGATCTCTGAAATCCTCTGACAGATGGGCAGAATTCTGTCTCCTCTGGTCTCATGTAGGATGAATTGTACACAGGTGCTAAGCAAAATCACACACATCACAGAAGTGCACCCTGCTCACACCTGTCTCCCTCAGCACCTCCCCTCCAGCTTAGCAGTTGCCCCAGACTAGGACACAGCGACAGAGACATGATACACCTAGAGCAAGATTTCCCAACCTCAGCTCTGGGGATATTTGGTGTCATATCATTCTTTGGCTCTCTTTTTCATTGTGCAGTGTTTAGCAGCATCTCTGTCCTCACCCACCAGATGCCTGTAGCATCCCCTCCACACCATAAGACATGGCAATCAAAAATGTTCCAGACATATCCAAATATGAACCGTGGGACAGAGTCACACTGGGCTGAGAAACTCTGACATATAAGCTACAAAGAGCACTTAGGCTGGATGAGAATCAGGGACACAAAATGAGCAAACTCAAAAGACCCCCAGAAACCTCTGAAGTCTAAGAAACCCTTTTTCTACCCTTCTCCCGAACTGTGACCCCATCCCCAAACTGAACAGTGCTACCCACAATTGTATTATCCTTCCTTCCTACCCTCTCCCTCCTGGTCCCCCTCTGCCTGGGCTGCTTCTTCTAATAAACAGCGAGCAGGGGAGAGCAGAAGATGCTCTCCTTCTTGTTTGATGCTGTCCAGCCACAGACAAGACCTGATACTGTGAGCTTTATCGCTGCTGCAGGATTCCCAGCAGGCTGTCCCCAGGAGCCTCTCCATGAAACCAACCTGAAAGGGCAGTCCTCAGGGCCTGGAGAGGCTGGAGGGACCTCAGGGGGCCTTCAGGGATCTGCAGTCCCTATTTACTCCTCCAGCTATCCACATGCAACAAAGACTCCCTGCTGCTTCTCTCTGCCCAGAGAGACACCAGCCCCTGCTGAGGGCTGAGAAGCTCTCGGTCTTGGGGGAGATAGGGCTGGATACAGATGCCCTCAACCTCCTGGGGTCAAGGTAGGGTCAGAGGGAAGGCAGGAGCTGGAAGAGCCCAGAGTGGGAATCCAGTGCTGAGCCCTCGGGTGAGGGCAGCTGGAAAGCTTCCCAAGTAAGTGTAATTTTGAGCTGGGTCTTAGAGAATGGTGCCTCTTGGGTAATATGAGCACTCAGTGTTTTCCAGCCATGCTGAGTAGCCCAACTTCTCTTCTCCGTCAATTTCTACCCTATCCCTGTTGTCCTGGTGATTCAAACCAGAAGTCTGACATTACCTTACAGCTCCCTGTGATAATTCATAAATATTTGGTCTTTTTGTCTTTGTCCCTGGTTCCTGATACTCAGCTCCTGAAACTGTTAGTAT